GCGTCATAATCGTCATCGGCGGCGGCGTTTTGTCGTCGTTTTCACTTTCTATGGCACGATTGATTACGCGGCGCCCGACGGAACCGGCTCGGCTTTCTCCGTAGCTGCTGGGCGCCTGCTCTCGGCGGCGACCGTTGGTGAGCGGCTTAGAGGCAATAACTCGGGAACCGCCCACAGTGCGTCGAGAGCCGCTCGCAGTAATTTGGAAACCACTGGACGTTGGTCGTCCCGACCCGTTGTTTCGTTATTTATGATGTTTATCTTTCGGCCCGCGACGCAGAGTCAGCTGAAATTGAATGCTCAGCGTTACCGTTCTTCTTTGTTATCTGTTCTGCTCATGGCCAGTGGAAGAAACGCAACTCAAACGTCTGACGTAGGGGTGTAGTCTCCTATTGAACTGGGGCTCCCCCCCCCCCCAACTTGAGCTCCTGCCCCTCCCGCCACCTTTGCAAAGAGAGCGGGCCAAAGTCGAGGGAAACCCTTTTGGTGGAGTATTTTTTGGGTAAGTTGTGTTATATTTTCCTCGCCTCCCTCTTCCCCAGCTCATTTTGTGAAATTTACGCCCCTGTACCGGCTTACAACATTATTTCATCCATGACCAGTTCCGCACTGTCGCTACGTGCGATGGCGCTTGCCTACCCGGAGGACCACCCACCCTCTATTTCGAATAGGACGCGCGTATACAAAAACGACCCGTCCGGCGGGCGGCCATCCCGCCGTTTGCGCAACCGCAGGCGGCGGGCCGGTCCGGCCGCGCGGCGGGAGGGGAGGGATCGGCCGCGGCCCAGGCGGCAGTCGGGGCTCAGTGGCGGCGCGCGGAGGGTGCGGGAGGGGACGCTCGGACGCTCGGAGGCTCGGACGCCGGCCGCTCGAACTGGGAACGAACGGCGGTCGGACGGCAGTCGGACAGGTCAGAGGCGGGTCACAGGCGGACCAACTGAGACCCATTGATGCAGCGCTTCGTTTTTTAAAGAAACTCGTTCTGCTTAGGTGACGCCGGCCCCAGAACCCAGGCTAAATAGAGCTTGTTGCTTGTACACTGAGCTCACCACCACCCACGTATTGCTACTCCGGGCTAGTTGACGTGCTTCGGTGCTAATCTGGGAGCAGAAGCAGTGGTGCATTTGCAACTCTGTCCTTAGGCACCCAACGCCGGGGATTTTCGTGAGATAGACAACAGTGTTCGTTATCCTCCGACAATGCGTGCGCCTGCCGGGGCGGGCGCGGCGCACCGCTCTGCCCAGCCGATATAAGGTCAAAAGTCAGCTCGCAAGCGAGCCAAAGGGGTCACCCCTGTCTCGGGCGAGCGTTTTCGGGCTACTGTGCGGCATGTGTAATCCTCGATGGTCCTGGCAGGCAGGCTACAGACAGCCTTATCCCATGAACTGGATCGGCCTACTCTGGGTGATGGGTTCAGGGAGTACGCAGCAATGGCACGATGAACTGAATCGGCGCTCTCTGGACGATGGGTTCAGTGAGCACGCAGCAATGGCCGCTTAACAAGCGCACTGACACACGAAACCATTAATGCAAAACATTGGAAGTAGACTTTGTTCTTCAAGATAACCTCTGAGTTGTGGGACAGCGAGACAATTCCTAGGTGGCGAGGGAGCAGTGGAACTGCGGGGGGCAGAGGGACCAAGTCAGGGGGTTATACGGGGTTGCGTAGTGGGCGGGAGGAGCATAGTTGGGTGGTAAGGTCCGGAGGAATGTGAAACTACGTCACACATTCTCGATTTTCTTATTTTTACTTGTCTACCTGAAATTTTGAACCTGTCACGTTTTCGTCACGTGCATGTTAATAAACGCCATAAATTTGGTAAAGGAGGGGCACGTGCCCGTTGGTTATTATGTGCGCACACTGATACCGCAGTTAAACTCTACTACACTGCTACCACACTGATGCTTCACCCTCCACCAACGCGGTTCATTGTCCGAGATGTGCATTGTTCATAGTCCAGATGGTGTGAGCGTTAATGAGTGAGGCTGCAAGTTAGTGGGAATGCGGGCAACGTTGCAAGGATGATACGTGCGTCAACAGAGGTGGTTACCCGTGGTGGACGCTCTAGTAAAATCGATGATAGATATTTTGTTTCCAGTCCTTTTCGTCAGCAATTTAGCTTAAGAATATTTTTTTAAAGTATTCCATTTTCACACATCGCATGGTGACCACTGAATCAAGTTATGAAGAATATATGTTTCACACAGTACCGACCAAGCCCAAAGGTACAACTTTATCCATATTCATTATATACATCGTGAGGCAAGTCCATGCAGCGCGGCCATTTTGATCCTCGGGTCAGGGAAAAATAAAATAGTGAGACGAAAACTTTTGACTTCGGCTAGAAAAGAAAATGATGCATACCCTCACTCATACACGATATAAGATACAGCGAAGTATTTTTTCGCGTTGTTAATACCCGGTTGACTCCTAACCACGTGGTTTTTGCTTTCGCGCCTCGACCTTGAAGCGTGTTGTAGACCAGCGCACGGATGGCGGGGGACAAATCATTTGAAAGCAGCCTTAAACCTCCGCCTTCCAGACTCGGATTGTATCGGACCTGGAATATCACCCACTGGATATCCTGATCGCAATGCCATCAGGATATCCAGTTGTGCGTTGGTGAATGTTATGCCTGGGAACAGGGTCGCGCTCGAGTAATGGGTTCTAATGTCAAAATTGTCTTAAGAACAACGGGGGCCGTGATACAGGCAGATGTTCGTAGTGATAGTCACCCAACGTCCCGCAGGCTATCACTGATGGCCAGAATTCCTTTGCCCAGAAGTAACGCTCGTTGCGGAGACGAGGAGCTTCTGCTGTCGGCCTAGTGGTGTGTTGTTGCTCGCTCCATTCGCAGTTATGCTGTTTAGCCCCCTCTTTATTTAAAGTGAAGTGTAGAGTTTGGGATAATCACTTTCCCTTCTTTAGACCTTGGTTAGACAATACGGAGACAATAGTCACACTATGGTCAATGTCAGACAATTGTCTAACCAAAGCTGAAGAAGCGATAGCGATTATCTTCAAATACTCTCGTTTAGTACAAACAAGCTGGTTTAAATCTCAGCTTTTTTACATTTACGACTTCCCGGCTCAATAATATTTTGATACAGATCATGCCGAATGTTCTGGTGATTTAATTGACAATATATTAACATATATGCACGTATACATTCAACATTGTATGTTTCGCATATCAGCCTTCCTGATGAAGAATGAGATGGAGATCCTTAAATAGTGCTTGGTCGATCGGTGCAACGTCTTGCGTGAGGCCCACCGCCATGCGGATGGGGTTAGAAGGCATGCATCTGATTGCTCAGCATCGCAGAGGTCAGCTGCGGCTCGGCGCGGTCCGTATCGGCTCCCGTATCGCCGCAGCACCCTGATTTATTGCCCCGTGGGCAGGTTTTCCTCGCCTGGGGCCGGCTTATCGCGCGGGGCAGGATCGAATGATCGGAACAGTCAGCGAGATCTTTCACGCCGCGATGGGGAGTGCTTTGAGCTGCGTAGATGCGAGCCCGCTCCGAGAGCATGGAGAGAAAGTGGACACGTTCAGTGTCAGGATAGCCGTGAGCGTTGCACAGCAGCGATGATGCATCAGTCCCTTGCCAGCATACCACCTACGTGTTACGTACGTCGAGACATCGTTGCCGCACCAGGTGAACTGTGCCTTCTTGCTACGCCACGCGGGGGATTTAGTGACGAATGGCCCAATGGAATAGTTTGAAATCGGGCAGTTCTTGTATGAAATACAATTATTTCTTTTGATTTTAAAGCGTGTTTAATTTTGTTCATTGACCTTCTCATCGGATGTTTGTTGATTCCGCTTCCCCGGGTTTAAGTTTCTTATTCAGCTGGGGAAGGGGATCTCTCCTGCCAACAGTTTTAGGAAGTGGACCAAATACGGAAGCAACTTTGTTTCATATTTTGTAGTAGGTGTGGCTATTTTCAACTACTTCGAACGTCCAAGCTTATCTTCGGGAATTTCGCCCATGGCTGCCTTACCGCTGCACTCCAGTCAGCGCTGCTTGCCTGGAACTCTCCAGGGAAGACAGCATAAAACTCGAACCAACGCGCGTCCATTGCTCCGTTCAAGATGGTGTCAAATGATGCCATGTCAGTGGGCCATGAACAGTTCCAAATGCTACCTGGCTACTACATCATATCCAACAAACATGCATTTAGGTAATCTTCATGCATGCCATTGCGGTGTTCCTGGCCCACAACGCGATGACGTTTGTTTTAGATCGGGGGCTTTTCTACGCCGTCCGCCGTGACCGGCAGACCTGTCGGTCGGGATCTCTGAGTGTCTTAGCTCAGCTGACCTTATCTGTCGGCCGTGATCCCTGAGTGTCTTAGCTCAGCTGACCTTATCTGTCGGCCGTGATCCCTGAGTGTCTTAGCTCAGCTGACCTTATCTGTCGGCCGTGATCCCTGAGTGTCAAAGGTCGTCTGACCCTGTATGTCGGCCGTGATCTCCGAGTGTCTAAGCTCGTCTGACCCCGTCTGTCGGCCATGATCCCTGAGTGTCTTAGCTCGCCTGACCTTATCTGTCGCTCGTAATCCCCGGGTGTCTAAGCTCGTCTGACCCCGTCTGTCTGCCGTGATTCCTGAGTGTCTAAGCTCGTCCGACCCCGTCTGTCAGTCGTGATTCCGGATTGTCCAAGCTCGTCTGACCCCGTCTGTCGGCCGTGATCCCTGAGTGTCTAAGCTCGTCTGACGCCGTCTGTCGGCCCCGTGATCCCCGAGTGTCTTAGCTGGTCTGACTCCGTCTGTCGGCCGTGATCCCTGAGCAAGCTCGTCTGACTCTGCCTGTTGGCCGCGATCCCGGAGTGTCCTAACTTGTCTGACCCCGGCTGTCTACCGCGATTCCGGAGTGCCTTAGCTGATCTGAATTCGCCTGTCGGCCGTGATCCCTGAATGCCTTAGCTCATCTGACCTGGCCTGCCTGCCGTGATCCCAGAGTGTCTTCAGCTGTCTGACTCCGCCTGTCCGCCGGCAGACCTGTCTGCCGTGATTCCGGAGCCGGACTACTCGGACTCGGAGGAGGAGAGTCGGCCGGCCCGGTCCAGCTTCAGTGGCGGCATGGCCTCGGACGGAGCGCTGGTGCCGCGCCGGCTGTCGGCGCCGCTCCCGCCGGCCGCCGACCGCCAGCAGAAGCTGCACAGGGAGCTCGCCTTTAACCAGAAAATGTAAGTACGAGCAAGCAGGGGTGCACGGCCGGGTGGGAGATGGAGGCCTCGCCACCGGTTGGGCCCAAGAAAAAGACTGGTAATGATGGAAACAAGTTAGGCGTCATTTGTAAGCAGCGCAAGCGAAATATGTAAATGCATGCAGCAGGATATATTTCGCAGAAGACATACGTGCACCGTTCTCATAAATCCAAACCGTCACTAAATGGGAGGGAGGGGGGGGGGGGGGGCACCAGTACAGTCGGTATGTGGGCGGACACAGTTTTCCCGCCCATTGATGGACATCAGCCGTCGTCAGCGACCCTGGAGAGGGCCGAAAGTTGGACGGAGGCTATCAGACTGCCTCTTTGGGCATAGCTTGCCATACATCGCCACAGGGCTAGCGTTAAAGTCTTCAAAAGCTGAGGACCTCCGTCCTCCATCCCTCTCTTTCCACGAAGTGGAGCCTTTGTCCATCTCCGTTCACCTCGGCCCAAACGATCGCTGGAACGGAGCATAGCTAGCGCCCTCGCGCCTCCAATAAACAGCGAACGTTGGTTGTACCCAGTTCCCTACAAGTCAATAATGACTCAAGGTCGGCGTCGAAATAAAACGACCCGTTTAACCTACATCCTTCGCCGCGTCTGCGCCTAATCCACATGGCACGGCGCCGGCGGCGCGTCCGAGCCGAGCCGAGGCCACGCTGTGACTGGGTCGGTCGGCCACGGGCGCCGCGCCGGACGGCACTGGCCATCAGCGCCGACCCACATCCGGTCCGCGACGGGCGGGCGCGGGCGGGCGCACCGGGCCGCGACAGAGGGCCGTAGGGGGGGAGGGGGCACCCCGCGCCGCGACAGAGGGCCGTAGGGGTGGGGGCGGACCGCTGCGACACATCGCCGTCGTGCGGCGGACAGTGGAGAGGCTCCGCCACTGCCCGCAGCCGAAGCGCCGGGTGGTCTGTGCCGAGCTGGTGCCGACGCAGGGCGGGTCTTGACGGGGAAGGGTGGGATGCAGGGCAAGGCGAGGTGAAGCGAAGTGGCTCCAAACGCGTGGAACTGGCGTCCCGAAGTTAGAAACGATAACCCCTGTTTTCGTGGTATGCATCGTAAAGTTGGGTGGCGAGATTAGGTGTTAATCGGTGCTGTGGCTTCCTTTAAGTCTGGGAGCGTCAACCAGTAAACCTGAAAGCCTGACATCCCGCTTAAACCCTCTAAGATCCCCTAGCCGGCCAGAGGAGTCATGTAAACGAGCAGGAGGGCAACCCATATCGAATCCAACCGTCGCCCAAAGTTCCAAACCGCCGTCTACACCTCCGATGTCACCAAGTATTCGCGTGTACTCCTCAGCGGTAAGAACCTGTTGGGGCAGAAGAGCGAGCTGCAGCGAGCCATGGAGCGCCACCGCGAGCAGCGGGAGCGGCGCCAGCTGCAGGACCAGCTGCGAGACAACCGGACCAGCTTCGAGATCGCGCTGGAGGAGCGCATGTCACGCGCAGAGCCAAAGGCCAGTGTTTGCCACCCGGCCACCGCCGTGTGTTTGAGTCGCGTTTGCCCCATGTGATTCGGCTGACGGAGTCATCCACCAGCATAGATGGTCACGCCGCCAATACGGGCTGGGTCCATGGGAGGGCGTGAGCCGGTGATGACACGGGGCATACTCGAACGTTCTGGGACGAGGGCACCGGGCGGCCCGAGAAAGAGAGCCGGAATTTCTGACACGAGTCTCGGCGCCGTCCGTCCCGCTCGGTCCGGCCGGCGCCGCCAGCAGCAGCGCCCGCTGGGGTCGCGCGGGGCGGCCGGCGCCACCCGGACCCGTGACGGCGCCGCTCCGGGCCGTCACGACAAGCCGTGACGCCGGGCGGCGTCCGTCGTCACCGCCGGGCGCGTGCCACGGCGGCGACACGGCGGCCGCCGCTTGTCGGGACGCTGACATAATCTGTGTACGAACGGGGCGTGTCGGGCCATGTGGCTCGGGGTCGTCCGGCCTCCGCCGCCGCCGGCGGTCCGTCGGGCCCGCCTCCAGGGAGCCGGGCTCCGCCGGCGCCCGGCGCTGGCCGGTTTGGACAGAGCCGCTGGCAAGCCTTACAGGGAGTCGAAATCTGCGGAAAGAGTGGGACACGCCGGAAACTGCGTCTCCGGTTTGTTGAATGCATCTCCTGGACATGGGCCGCCTCGAGGCTGGGCAGAGCTCCGCCGCTGACTTCAGTCGGGGATGTCGGCTCAGCTGATAACGAGTCTCCCCGTGCTTCCCCATGCGCCCGGAAGCTTGCTGACACGTCGTTTCTCGTCCCCAGGCGCAGGACGCGGCGCCACCCTCTGCTGACGTCACGCCCGAGTTCCTCCGCGTGCACGCGCGCATGCGGTCCAAGGTGAACGCGCCCTCCTGAATCCGGCGACAGGGCGGCCTGGTGTTGTGTCGTGTCATAGACTCGCGTCGCCGACCAGCGGCGATCCGACGAGGTCATCGGAGGTTCCGTGCACCAGCGGGCGGACCCCGCCAGCGACTGAGGGACCTGAAGCGCCCGAGGCGGAGCGGCGTTGCACGTGCACAGTCCAGTCACTGAGCCAGTCGTCTCGTGCCGGTCTGAGCAGACCGTCAGATGTGTATCGCGATCATCCGGCGCGTTGTAGGTGGTCAGGCCTGTTCTATGATTAAGCGGTAAATACTGTTTTATGAAGTGTTCTTTATTTCAGGATTGAGGACACGATGCCGATCCGCGCAATGCGGGGCGATCTTGGAGTATTGAGCGTATAGAAGGCACAGGTCGTAGAAACCCGTACTGCATTATCCGCACCTGAGTTTTATGTAAGATATGTACAAAGGTTCTATCAATAAACTGTTTTGTAAATAGACACAAGGCATGCGAGACGGAGTGACGTAGCTTACCGCGCGACACAAAACTGGGAGCACGAGCTCATCGGAAGCACAATGATGCAAGGCATCCAAGGCAAGGCAAGGCAAGGCACCGCGTGCAAGTGTTCAACACCATCCGCATCTTGCGGAAGACCTGTGCATTTTACAGCCCCAAAGCTCTGTGCGTAAATACACCTCTCCCGTATGCATTTGGCGCTGGTGCATTTGGTGCACGCCTGGCCTATCACACGATCACTGCCCGCCCGCTGAGCCCGCCGGGTGCGTCGCTCCAACGCTAAGCTACAGAACCGGCCATGGTCGTGACTCGAGAATGGCCAGGTTTGCGACCCACGACCGCCACGCCCTGGCCGCCCGAGCGGGTAGCACACAAGCACGCAGATACGGTCGCAGCCGGGCTGACAGGAGCACACGGCATCAGCCACCGGACCGCGGCCTGAAGGGATCGAAATGCTCTTCAGTCGTTCGTGGTGTGTGAGTTAGCGCACAATCCCCGCGGGGTCGGTGCGGGGTCAAGTCCTCCGTTCGTGAGACATGCATGTAGATCGTACCGCACATACGCGCGCCTCTCGAGGTTTGATAACTCCTGCCAACTGACGCAGCAATCCACCGCACCGCCCGACTGACGCACACTCGGACCCGTCCAGTCCAGTTCAGGCCGTCGAGGGATCCAGGCGAGCAGGGATTCGGGTGAGGAAGGGATCCAGACCCCACGAGAACGCTTCTTCACCAGTTCTGCCGCCCTATCGCCAAGCAGTCGGCGCGCCCTATAATTCAAAGCACCTTTCTGAGTTCGTGAAAAAGACAGTGGGTCCTGTCATCCAAGGCAAAGCAATGGTGGCGACCAGCAGTTCCGCGCAAACGGCCACACGGCGGGATGAGCTCCTTACCTACCCTCCGTGATGGTATACGGCCAGGCGCAGGCCGCTGTTTTCGACATAATGTCCTGACCCCCCCCCCCCCCGCCAGTATGACATAAAAAGCGAGACAAACACCACGGGTGACGTTTGCGAGCCCGCTCGCTCGTTAAGAATCTGCCACGCCAGCGTCACGACAATCCACCTCCCACCCTAAGCGAAATGTGGTAAACGATGCCTGTAGTGGCACGCGGCGAAACGTTTAGCATGCCACAAGAAACAAAAGCGCATCATTTCAACATGCTGATAATAACACAAATGATCTCACAGTAGAACGACTGGCCGCTTACGCAAGCGATTTTCACACAGGTGTATCGATGCCACTGGTTACCGTCCCAATTCCTTTCCCAACACTGCCACATCTCCGGCTCGGCTCTCTTTGGCGACTGCTGGTGTCGTCCCCTCCCCTCTCCTTCTGGACACCTCCCGGGACTCTCGGCCCATGTAGTGACGCCCGGCCGAGGTCAGCCGGGCGCCACGCGGCGGCGGACGGCCGGCCTGCCGCGCCTACATCAGCGACCGTTTGAGGGCACCGTTGACAGTCGGCAAACGCACCGACGCCGACTGCTTCATCTGGAACAGGGGCGTCCCGCGTCATCGGCACGCCGCAGCCCTGTGAACGATGGGAAAATGCGAACCGGGGCCAAATGTGGTCAAAAGACTAGGACTCAACAAGCCACGGCATTGTCAGGAAACATGAATCGGCTGCGCGATCCGCTTGTGGAGCATCGGGCGGCGACTGTTCGTTGCCAGCAACGTTAACGCAGAAGAATTCAACGAAAGTACGCTCACGAACAACATAAAGCAAGGTCATCCGAGTTTTGCAATTCTGAATGATACAGTCTTCCCGCTTCGGCGAGTTTTGGCGACACCGCCCCTCCCCATCCGCCGCACTTTGTCGTCAGCTGCCTCAGCGCAGCCGGTGGTCGGTGCTGACAGCTGGAGCCGCCACTGGGCGCGCCGCACCTTCAGGTGGCTGTAGACGATGATGCCGAGCATGGTGAGACTGATGCCCATGATCTGGTTCAGCTGGAGGGGGTCGTGGAACACGATAAAGCCGGCCGCCACCGTCAGGCAGAACTTGGAGTGGCCGATCATGTTGTACGTGAGGGGGGACGTGTTGCCGATCAGCCAGTAGATACTCAGATTGATGACGAACGCCATGACGCACGAGCACACCACCAGCGCCTGGCGACAGGGTGCGGTGCGCAGGTGACTGGTCCTGGCGATGCCACGGAGGGGTCCTTCGCAGAGGGGAAGCAAAACGAAATGGTCATGTGGGACGCGGAGCCTGATTTGTCAGTGCATTTACGTGCATGCAGCCTCATCATTGTGATGGACAGACGGTGCCATGGTTTACAAGCAGGCACACAGTCGACACACACAGAGACGCACTGTACTCCTGAAAAGGTTCACTGCGGTCTCTCGCTGCGGTTTGTTCGCCATTCTCACCTTCATCTCAGACGCATGGCATCTGGGATGAAGGTGCCTCGTCTTAAATTATTGTATTTATCTAGGCCCGTTAAGTTATACGAGAGGCCTTCCTGTCTCGAAGGCCTCTCGTGTATGTAACTGTAGTATCGTCCGCTCTCACAGCCCGACCAAACACTAAGTCAGGTGTTACCGTGAGTATTCTCCCAATACCCCGGTAATAACAACAAAGCAATAATATAACGTCCGAGGCGTCCGAACACGTCGCGCCCCCCGCCACGCGCCACCTTCTCAAGCCCAACTCTCTCGCGCAACTGCCACTTGCCTGGCGCGTAGGCGCCCTGCCGTACACCAACTGCCGTACACCACAGTAACGCCGGGCGCAAGACGTCGCCTTCCCACCCCACGCAAGGTAAAGCAATGCCGGCAGCCACAGACCGCAGACTTGATCGCCGCAGAAAGCCAGCCACAATGCTGCCCATAGCAAACCGAAACAAGCGCACGGCACTCGCCTCTACACAGCAAAATCAATGACGAATCGATCATGACGCAGCCGCAATCAGCTTATGCACACATACGTGATTTCCTCGGGGAGTGTAATCCGTTACACAGCACTATCTACATGTAGGAGTCCCCCCCCCCCCCCCTGTCCTCCGAGCCGTGCCATGCTAGCACACACCGTCGCCTGTTGATAAACGTGGCGCCATGCTCCGGCGCCGGCGGGTAAGCACTCGCTCGCCACGAAACTCACTGACAGAGCATACACACTCCGGAACGATAAGTCGCAGGTCCTATCCCACCTAATGACCGCAACGAATACACACACCGGACGGTGCGGGACCCCATTAACAGTCGAAACCAAACAACGACTCCGAAGACGTGACGGCCACCAGGGACGCGGTCGAGAGGGAGCTTTTTGGACATGCCACTCTCCCCCCAATCCCATATCCCACCCCGACCTCCCACCCCCAGCACAACCCCCAAAGGTAGCCAGGCCCCTCTGGGGTGCAAGGGCCTGGTACTTTGGGCAGCTTCGGACGCCTGTTTGCCTCCTAAAACATAAAAACTAGGTGTCCAAGGCAGGAAAATTGGACCCCAGCTTAAAATTAGGCCCTAGCCATAGGTAATTGGCCTTTCGTAATTTTCCTGCCAATAGCATTGAAAATAACAATCTACGCAAGGGTCACAGACCTCGGCCCCCTTTTACGCGCCTTTGGGAAGATACGGGCCGTAGCATTTCTCGTGAAAGTGACGCGCAAATCCTGTAACAGCATCAATCAGTCAGCACGATCTCCAGCTCCAGTTGCGTGCTGGCGTGCGCGCCCGACAGCCGGCTAACCCCCGGCACGGCGCTTGCGCGGCCCCCGCCCCTTGCACGGCAGCCGCAGGTCACGTGACACGCCTGGGTGGGATGGCGCCGCGGGCGGGCTAGATGTCGCTGCGTGTGTGCGTGCGTGTGTATAGCGTTGCAACATAGTCAGGCCCGAACTCACCGGTCAACTGCGACTTCCTTTTGGGTTTGGGGTTTTCTGTCGATTCTGCACGCAATAAATACGGCGAAGAAAACAAACTTAAAATGTTTTGTTCAAGGCGAAAGCCATGACAGATGCGCGACACCGCTACAGCCTGACGGAAATGGGGGATGGAACGGATCTCCTGAAGTGTTGGCCACGGATGTCGTCCTGCATTACGATGTGTGCGTATGGTATAAAGCACAATGCTGTGAAATACTAGATGCCGAAAACGATTCGACCAGGGTAAGAACAGACTGCACTCCGAGACAGGGCGTATTGAGCAATGGTCGACGGCGGGCTACGTGGATGGCTGCTCCCAACGGCAGTTTCAATCACCACTCGTTTACGCCGCGAAAGAGGCTGCCTCGAAAAAACGAGTGTCATCATTGAAGACCCACGATAATAATTAGGAACGGTCATAAAAAAGGTCGGACTATGCTTTCGCAATCGATGACAGTCATAGTCCAACTTTACTGCAATTACGCAATGCAGCAGCGCCCGTTTCGCAATGCAAACGATGCACATTACAAGGGAAGATCTTAACGTGAAATGACGAGCATGCAACATAATCAGCTTAGCTTAGCTCCGCTCGCTTAGAGACAGTGAGCGTCCGAACCTGGACGATATATGAGCAGCAACAGAGGGATTCGTCAATCAACGAATCGCTCACATGTTTACGGTAGGCCCAATCACTGACATCATCAGTATCGCTACATCCCACGTCCATTCTGCAAAACCGATGGAATGAAATCCGAGCCGCAGTCAATAAACTCCGACTCGGTGAGCGAATTATCGTTCGAGATGACCAATGGTAGTACACATCATCATTCTAGCAGCCACACCACTTTCACCCAACAAGCACAAAAAACGCCGCAAATCGATATTATAGTACAGTCAACAAAACCAAAGGAAGTTGCATGTTCTGCATAAACATTAAAAAACACATCATGCGGCAGCCGTTTCCAAGACGTGAATTGTATGAAGATAACCAGGTCCATAGACGTCTTGCTCGACATGGGGGTTTTCACTGCAGGCCTCCATTGTGACGAACCATTTGTTTCCTCGTGCGTGCGTGCGTGCGTGCGTGCGTGCGTGCGTGCGTGCGTGCGTGCGTGTGTGTGTGTGTGCATGTCTGTGTGTGAGTGCGTGTGTGTGCATGTGTGTGTGTGAGTGCGTGTGTGAGTGTGTGTGTGTGCGTGTGTTTGCGTGTGAGTGTACGCCGTCTTGACTCCACCTTGTTTTAGTCGCTCAACAAGAGCCAGTACATGATGCATGATGCAGCATTATACAGTATAAAACACAGCATAACATGATATGGTAAAAAGAACATCATAGACATAGTGTAGTACCCATCTCGTGTCTAAAATGCGCCGTGTGCAACAAATAGGTATATACATAAGGGGGAGCATGGCCTAAAGTGGTGTGGATCTATGTGGCAGACGTCTAGACTCCTGCCCATCCGTTTCTTGACGAGAATACCCAAGTGGTGTCATCTAGTTCAGCATGCCAAGCAGGGCTAGCACCCAGTGGACGCCATCTTAGAAGGGAACATGGACATGTCCCAGGAGATGGTTTATACCCTCAGCCCGGTATCACCACGTCAAGAAGCGCATTCATTATTCATGGTTATGTTTGGCGAATCACTAACAACGGTGCATTTCCAACGACGCACTCCTCTCGTTCGTTTGTACTATTCTACACGATTGCCCCTGGCTAGATGTTCATTAGCAACAGCCTCAGCTTGTCATGAGCCCAGCGCACCCTGGTGCAACACCTCCGCTACGCCCCAAGTCCAGAGTGTGTGTGTACATTTCCGTCGCTCCCGAGCCCCACCACATCCGTCGTGCGGAGCCGGTACGTACAGTCTGCTGCGGCGTCAGCGGACGGGAGAGGGTCTCGGAGACGGACTCAAACAACGGCGCCACGCACAGCAGCAGGCCGGCCGACAGCGGCGCCTGGTACAGGAGCAGCTGCAGGCCGTTCAGCCGGTGCTCGGTCTGAACGCGGCCCACCCACTGCAATAACAGGCAGAGACATCTAGCGACGAGCGGGCCAACGTCAGGTTTACACAGCATCCGTTAATGGCGCTAGAAGTGTGCTCATGGCGGTGGTGCGCTAGTGATCGTAAAACGCGTGGTACTCAATGAAGCACTGACAGCGCCGACATCACGAAACCTGTGGTGTGACGATGACACTGGAAGTTATTGCATTCCTGCTGATTTCCGCGGCTGGAGCTCTTACTCTAACAAAAGCAAGTAGCACTATTGCAATGCAAAGTTGTCGTTGACACAGTCGTTGTCATTGTCGGTACATCTACACACGAGCATTTGCAGTAGGATGCCGATCAACCCGAATTTTCATAGAAGTACAACCCGAATGTCCATGGAAGTACAACCCGAATCCTCATAAACGTACAATCAGACTTTTCATAGAAGGACAGACATCCACAGTGAACATTCAAAGCTACTAATTTTGCAAGTCAACAATACGTATATATATATATATATATATATATATATATATATATATATATGTATAACAATACATCACTTCTTAGAGGGAATGAAAGAGCGAGACCATTGACTCGCATATTAGGTTCAGAAGAATATTCTGAATGCTTTCCTTGAGATTAAGAAAGTACTCAAGCCCTTGATCCTTTCGAGTCTGTTTCATTTTTCCCGATCAAAGTTGACGAATCAATCCAAGGCCTCGTACTTCTCCATTTCGAAACACGGACTGCCTTGTACCATTCTGGGGTCCATTTTGGGCCTCAAGACGCATTCAAGGGTTATTCTTCATACGTAATACTATGGCCGTATATGACGTCATATGCCTATGACCGTATGACGTTGGCAGACCTGCTCCCGTAAGGTCATGTATCATGACCTGCTCCGGTCATGGCACATGAAAGTTCACCACGAACCCCACAGAGGCCTCTCTTCAGCTCTCACGGCATTCCCTCACCGCCACGGGCCTTTCACGGTCGAAGTCCCCCACCCCCCTTCAATGTTCATAGGATGTGTTGGGCACGCAAGTCTATTGTGGGGATAAGCATCCACGTCGCTGGGTTAGACGCTGAGGTTTGGACGGCCCACACCGTCCTGAGCAGAGCCGTTCGTATCAGCTGCCCCAAACAAATTGGTACGACAAAAACACTAGTTACTTACCACTTGGTAAAATGAAGTGACGACTACTCCGGCACATGCCATGAAGAACCCAATGACATTAAACTTCAGGTCAAAACAGAAGTTTAATATCACTCCGACGGTGATCGGAATCTGCCAACGGGGCAGAGACCGTTAACGCGGAGAACAAAACAGAAGTTCAATATCACTCCGACGGATTCCGAAACCGGAACCTGCCAACAGGGCGGAGACCGTTAACGCGGAGAACAAAGCATGCATGAAATACGGCTTCCCCGCGTCCCAGAGCATATCCTCCTAACACTGTGCATGGGCAAGCACAGACAACCACAGGTAAGTAGGAGGACGCACCTTAGCAGCAGATGTTATTTCGTCAGAAGTGAAAAATGGCACAAAGCCACACCGCTGCGACAGTAGAACGGTGTCTGCACCAGTCCTCCAACGCATGCCCGCAGCCCACCATCACCGACTCGACTCGGAATACCCCGCTAATCAATGGCTGCTGGTATTTCGTTCCGCGCCGGCTACAAAAGGCCGTCGTCCTTCGCATCGAGACCACGCCGTCCCACTCACCGTGCACAGCTTCACGCCGAAGGTGAAGCTCCTGCCGTACAGGCAGGCGCCGATGGCGATGACGCCCGGCGTCGTCATCACCTTGGCCACCTGGTAGGTGCCGACCGTGTTGTACTGCAGGCTGAGGTTAGTCAGCACGACGAAGCCGCAGAAGGCGGCCGCCAGCGGCAGCATGTCCAGCAATGGCACCCGCTTGGCCGCGAACAGGCCGGCGCGCAGGCTCAGCGCGCACAGCGCGAACGACGTCACGAAGTGCAGCAGCGTCAGCGTCATGTTTGGGAAGCCGACGTGCGTGTAGACCCACTTGTTGAGCAGCACCAGCGTGATGGAGAGCGCGACGTTGGCGCAGCAGTGGGCGGCGACCAGCGTGCGCGACGGAGGCGCCGCCGGCGCGGCGGCCGCCGACATGGCCGCCCTGCCGGCAGGCGTACCCACCGTCAGCTTCGGACGCTGCCCAGCTGACCTCCCACGCTGGCGTGTTCGTGGGCTGGGGCGCTGCCGAGGGAGCCTGCCCAGCGATGCAGAGGCGGAAGGACGGGGGGGGGGGGGGGTTGATGTCACTGTCTTCTGTTCCTTTCAATGCGACGACATAAGCTTAATGCCACATGTTACCTTACGTTGGTGGATAGGGGCCCTTACCCCGCAGCTAACACTTAAGCCTTCGCGCCGACGGGGTGAGCGGTGACCATCTCCGAAGTCTGATATCAGCAGCCATCAGACTAACGGGTGAGAGTCTGAAGAAGCGACCCACTACGGGTCAAACAAGCCAGAGAATACTGAGCTTAACTGAAAAGAAATTAATAAAAGTTTAGTGACATGTTAGCCACATGTGGTGCGCAGCATTAATTTCCAAGGGACACTGCAGTATATCGTTTCATGTATGGCGTCCCCAGCCTTCCACGAGCGCAGATTTCATTTATTGTGTTCTTTGTGTGTTGTCTTCACCTGCGACACCAACAGCAATGGAAACGGGGGGGGGGGGGGGGAGGCGGCGGCGGGGGGGGGGGGGGGGGCGATAATCAAGGACATCAAAGGGCATAACTGGTTCTGGATGTACCTATATGTTCCCATGCCGCAGCGGCGATGCCATCGCTATCATTTGCTCCCTCAATCGTTGCCTGCTGGTGCCCATGCTCCCCGCAAATTGCCTCAGCGGAGCATTCGGCGTTTCAGAGACTTATGTGGAAGGCTGCAATTGCTTTTTAAGACAATGCACTACCTACAACATTTACAGCGCGATTCCTTTGTAACGCACATATGTTCGTTCTTATATCCTGCGACCAAGCGTGTGATTTTGCGAGTGAAAAGCAACTTCTCAACCTAACATCCTCACACGTGTTTGCTGTTCATTTCATTGGATTCGAATGCGGTTCGGTATCCGTGCTCAACGGCGGGCCAATTCTCTGACCACGCTTGCGTGTTTATCATGCAATCCCGCTCGTCTTGGGGCCTCAAACGGCACGCGCCAAGATTACTTTCTGTTGCCGAGGAAAGGGCAATCCGTTTACCGGAGTACAATTCAAGCCCGATTAAATGTTTTAGACCTCCGGCGCACCGCATCAGCCACCCGGGTGCCGGCACCGCAGACATGAGCTCTGAACGCACGTCACGTGGCCCGCTTCAGGCCATGCCAGCTGTTGCCAGTTCGAAAATCTCGACGTTCCGGTTGTGCCCTTGCCATCTCTAATGCGCCGAAAAACACAGCATTTTGTACCGATAATTTAGTTCGGGTCGTTGCGCGAAATTAGTTTTCGCGAAAAACTTAATTTGTAGCTTCATGGGTTGACTTTGGAATGGTCAGTGAATGACAAAAGCCCCGTCCCTATTCAGATTGCACACTGAGACGGTTATCATGATGGCCAAAAACTGAGCACACCTGACCCATTCAGTTTCAGAAAAAAGGCTAAACATCAGGTAAGAAATCATTCGAAGTTACTCTTCGCAGCTCGCCGTCGCATACAACATGCGCTATTCGGGCAGCTGATAGAACCGAACACCCATATCCTGCATCGCATAAACGCCTCAAGATCGTACATCTAATTCCGTGTCTATTATCGCGTCCTACGGCACTTACTGCGTGGCACAAACCAGCAGTAACAAAGCGCAAGGGCTGCTTAGTGTGCCATTATGCGCCTTCCCTGCACACGCACATGGAGCAGAATGGCCTCCTGGGCCTTCCTTGCACACGCATATGGAGCGGAATGGCCTCCTGGGCCTTCCCTGCACACGCATATGGAGCGGAATGGCCACCTGGGCCTTCCCTGCACACGCACATGGAGCGGAATGGCCTCCTGGGCCTTCCCTGCACACGCATATGGAGCGGAATGGCCTCCTGGGCCTTCCCTGCACACGCATATGGAGCGGAATGGCCTCCAGGGCCTTCCCTGCACACTCACATGGAGCGGAATGGCCTCCTGGGCCTTCCCTGCACACGCATATGGAGCGGAATGGCCTCCTGGGCCTTCCCTGCACACGCATATGGAGCGGAATGGCCTCCTGGGCCTTCCCTGCACACTCACATGGAGCGGAATGGCCACCTGGGCCTTCCCTGCACACGCATATGGAGCGGAATGGCCTCCTGAACCTCCCTCGCGCATGCACGTTCGTTTCCATGAGGCATCTGGGCTAGTCTATCCGTGAACAGAGCGTCACAGATTCTTTAAATTTCGTGGACATATCTAGATAAGTCTGAGAAAAGCTGGACAAAAGTACGGAAATAAACCCAGTCCACCAAGGACATGGGATAGGGCCACCAAACGCTGAATGGTATTAATTGCAACGCTTAATAACCATCACGCTCGAAATAAGCGGGGTAGTACTTATTGCTTATAAATGATAACCAATAAGTTGCAGCTTTTTGGAATGCTAGGGACCTATTGAGCTGCTTAATGTAGTTGGTCTCTGGACCAAGAACAACATATTGGTTATGTTCTATACGAGTTATGTGTCGAATGGGTACATTAGCCCGCTGATTTACCATTCACAATGTCAGTCAAAACACAGGGTGTTTGACTCGTACAGAAATATATATCGTTCTGGAGCAAGAACAAATGACTTCAGTAACTATCATCATCTGGTTCCTTTCCGACAAGTTTGCGACCTTACCATGGAGCGGACCAGAACAAACACTTTGTTGTCGATGTGTCGACTCAAATTAATTGCTCAGACAGAAAGCAGGGTCAGCCATGTCGTGGGCAGCCCAACCAACATCAGTAAGAAACTGCTCGTGTCAAGGCTGGTTTTCGGCCGCCGGCTGGCCAGCTGGCCGTCGACTGAACGGCCCGCCGCCTCGGTAAGGATGGAAAGCTGTCTGAAATTATTTATATTGGGCCCATATTCGAACCGTCGATTTGCGATGCACAAACCCGCTCCGTTAACCAGTTGGCAATGAGGCTGTCTCAGACGCAACACTAGGGACTTTTTATGTATGATCGAGGATTTTCCACGTGCTAGTTTTATAGGGAAGCAAGGTGGTAACAGGGTAGCAAGATGGTAACAGGGTAGCAATGTGGTAACAAGGTAGCGATGTGGTAACAGGGTAGCAATGTGGTAACAGGGTAGCAATGTGGGACACGGTAGCGCAGTGGTAAAAGAGTAGCAAAGTGGTAACAGGGGAGCAAGGCGGCAACGGCAGCAAATTGATAACGGGGCAGCAAGTAGTAACAGGGTAGCAAGGTGGTAACATTGTAGCAAGGTCGTACCCAGACGGCCCTCGTCTGCTGCAGCGGGTTGCCAACACATTGTGCCCGGCGTTTTCACGCAAATTGACCAAGATCTTGGCATGTTGTCTTTGTTCTTGAGATCTTGGGATAACCCTTAATGAAGTTCATATTCAAATAGTTGGGAACATATTTTTCACTCCGCACCCAACAGTGAATCTCATTCTGTACCCCACACTAAAGTTACCATTTCATAAGCCATCAGGCGATGACAAAATTTGCCGCCGGCTTGCCGCCGGTTCCGGGTGGGTGGGTAGCCGACCCGAAACCGGTTAGACACAACCCGCCTTGTCCGCACAAAAGCCCTCGACTCGTCAAGTCCAGGTTTTTGTCACAATTAGCCACCAATAGTCACCCATCCGTCCATTGCTGGTTTACAGTGAACTACGTTCAATGCTACTGAAAGGTGCACTACGGCAGTCATTAAGGCCAGGGACCGGGCAAAACCTGAATGCAGCGGACGCTGATCACGGCGCACCGGAAGCCCGTCCAGATGAGCTAGCACACCTGATCGATGCCGCGCCGTCCGGGCATGACCGGCAGTCATCGTGACAGTCCGCCCCGCCCGCCGTCCGGTAGGGTGTGGGCGATGGCACCGGCCGCGAACCGCCGCACCGGCGAACAGCGCCGGCGGGTGACACAAGAGCGCACTTCACCGGGCGGCGCCGCCAGGTCACTGGCCGGCGGCGCCGCCCGGTCACCGGCCGGCGGCGCTGCCAGGTCGCCGGCCGGCGGCGCCGGAGGTCACTGGCGGGCGGCGCCGCCAGGTCACTGGCCGGCGGCGCCGGAGGTCACTGGCGGGCGGCGTCGCCAGGTCACCGGCAGGCGGCGTCAGAGGTCACCGGCGGGCGGCGCCGCTCGGCCGCTGTATGACCAGACGAGCGACTGTCTGGCCGTGGGGGTCTGTGACACGACGCCGGCACGCTCGCTAGACAGAACGCAAAAGTACACCGACCGGTCACACGGCAACACGCAGCCACTGCAGTGTGGCGCGGTGCAGTTGCAAGACGGCACCGTCTCGTTCCCGCGCCGGTCCGTTAGCCTGCGGGGCTGCCGCCGGCCGGCTCCATAACAAAGCGATGCGCTGGCACCATCAAGTGGAAGGTCATCCCAGCACCAGCCGTCCCCAGACAACCTTCAACCCGCGGGACCAGTCACTATCGGCCAAAGCCTGTCCCGGCCGCCCTGTGCGGGCGCCTGACACGTGCGCCAGGAAAGCCCCTCGTTCATCGGGCGGAAGAAACGCACAGGACTTGACCAGTGGCGGATGCAACATTCGGGCACGGGCGGGGCCCGTCCCACACCTGTCGTCAGCCAAACATCAGCCAAACATCCACATCTGTCGTCAGTGCGGACAGCCAAAATGCATTCCGCACACGAATGTACAAATGGGGACAGATCTCTCGTGGCACCATCATAAATGCGCGTCACTTTACGCTATGCAGAGACAGGAGCACAGATAACGTGGACCCGCGGAGGGAGCGATAAGGATTCTTACTGCTGGGCGCGTATCATGTACATGTATGCTCGGGGCGATCCACGGATGTAATCATACGAACGATTTGGGGGCGTAGAAATGTCCTTGCAATCAAAATCAATATGTTAACAAAACTTTACACCAAGTGTCACTACTTTTTCTTCAATGATAACAGCCAGGTAAGTGCGGCCAACAGTGACGAAAACAAGCATAAACAGTACCGTGCTATCTATGAATCACTTAACCCGCACTTGGGGCCCCTCACTGCACCAAATGCACGATGTTACAAAGAAGTACACCCGATCCAGTTGTTACTCATTCCGAATGGGTACCCGTGGGTTTGCCCATCCCCGAAGGACTCCATTGGCTAGTGCAATTATGATTCAAATTTAAGTCCAAAAACCGCGGCACCTTTCCCCAACCGAAGCAAAGGCAATGTCTCCTACCAGTGACGATCGATCTGGCAGCGCCCCTTGCAGCCACTGCTCACCGCCGTCTGTAGCCGCCGGCTGTATGACTCCGTTCGAGCATGGCTGGACGGCCCGCCTCGCGGCTGGTATGCGCCGACGTCAGCGCCTCGTAAGCACTGCCGGCGGCCGCCAGTGCAATGCCCCGCCTCCCATCAACTGGCGCGGCCCCGGCCCCGGCAGCCGTGTCGCGGCGCCGCTCGGCGGGAGCGGCGCCGCCCTATCTCAGCGCCATCTGCCGCCGCTCCGTCACGTCCGGTCCACACGCGCCGCCGTCGCCGCGGCGCCGGTCCGCGCCGCGTCTGCCGCCGGCCGGCAGACTCGGCCGCCTCATCAGGCGCTGCACTGCAGGCTCGTAGCCCTGAGACGAGGTCCGGGCCAATCGGACAGGGACGCGGAATGGCCGTCGCTGGCGATGCAACCATAACCCCGCCCAAAATCCAACCCAAAATAACCGATATCGGGCTCCCCGCCGGCGCTTCGAACGGTATTACATCGCTGCAAAGCTGCCGGTGCAGAGTGGGCATTCACTCATCTCTAAAAGAAGCCTCAAAGAGCCGATGAGGCGTGGCGGGACGAGGGCAAGCCAAAGCGTAGCTAGTCGTAGTGCTTGACACCAGTTCTACTTTCAAGGGACGCAACGCACGTCATGTCTGTTTATAGACAGGAATTCCACTAGCCGTGAGTGATCAGGGGCCATGGCGTGATAGGGATACGAACCTGCCTTCCCCTCCCCCACGTAGGAGTCCAAGGCACTAACCACAACGGGTGGCGCCACCGAGTTTGACTTAGGGGGAAGGGGGCAGGACTTTCCAGAGGCCTCCCGGACAAAATGACGCACTTCCTCGGGGGAGGCTCATGCGCAGTGTCGTATTCAAGGTTGAGGAGTACTGAAGGCACGTGCCTCCTAAAACTGCCATATGTATTATATCCCAGTAAATAATATATGGCGGTAGTTGAAAATCCAGAAAAAGGGCCTTCTAATTTTCCAGCAAAGGGTCTTGCTGCCCTAGAACAGGCTCTCCTGTTACCACTGGACACCGTGTTCATAAAGGTGACCTCATAATCCAGGAAACGGGCCTCTTGATGTAGGAAAGGCTCTTCTGAGCCTTATTTAGTACCTTCTAGCTCAATTATGGCGGCCTTCCTTATATAAATTTTGGTATTTTACGAGTAGCTACGGTGCCCTGCGACAAGCTGCGGTACTCAAGCAGCCACAAGGTCTTTATTTGGGCCAAAAGGGCCTCCCAAAGAATTGGTGGGGCGGGGGGATAAAAACACTTCTGCAGCTGCATACCACAAGAAAAGCAATTCCCCGCTCTGCCCCCTTGCTGCGCCGCTTCTGCTGACCAGTTGGCCATTACGACCCCTATGCTCGTGTCTACAAATTAGACCACAGTGGACTAAGTGGCCCAATGACACGCATCCAATCTATGTCGCGGGTCCTATCGGCCCCAAAATGCTGGACCCGTCACGCGAAAGATGTAAGATCCAACACGTGTGATACCGTGAGACCAATATACGCTCTTCCTTCCCTTTCTCCAGAACATGCTCTCCCCCCGCCCCCTGCTAATCCATATTGATTCCAAACCCCATTTCGAACCACGGTCAGCTACACTTCCCGCATCACGTGGACACGATGCCAACCTCACCCTCCGCTGAGGGGGCTTGGTCTCGGCTCCTTCATGTCGCGGGACGTCACGTTGTGTGCGACCCCTGGGGCGGCTTCAGCCACGCCAAGAAGCGCCCGAGGTTGTGCATCGGCACGGGCATTATGATCCAATGTCGAAAACACGTTGTGAACTAAAATTGTGCCATATATCGAAGACCCGACAACCTCGTTCACTTACGTTCCTGGTGTTCTTCAACCAATGAAGAATGCCGTGCACGCTGAACCAGTGAAAAAGACCTCACATAATCGGTGCGAAATTTCGAAGAGTGGGTACACAGGTTTCCCTCAACGCGAAAACGTCTTTGAGTATGTCGATAGGTGTCACCGCGTGCAAACGCCGAGATGTAAGATACAGGTCCGCTTACTTCACCGGCGCCCCGTCGCGAAAGATTACACTGCATACCAGTGACGACCGGTTCTCGCAGGACATGGGGGAGGGGGGACGCGACTCGTACCTCGTTTATTTGCATGTACTTAGGATAAGCGTTGAACCTCTCCAGAAATGGAGAGGGCGGCATCTTTGACTCCAAGTGCAGTAGGTCTACCCCTGTGGTGACTTCAGCTGCAAACCGCTGCACTACGCCATGCAGAGCAGCTTCGCTCAGTCCTCAGAAGGCCTGGCTTCTACAACCATCAGGAGCTCTCAAGCTTGCGCGAGACTTGACGCAGCAGCGTTGCCACGGACGTCCACATCAGAAGCGGAACCGTTGTCGTTATCCAAGCTCACTTACTGACGATTCTGCATAAAAGGAGTGTTCCGCATTTAGATGGGGTTTTGGACTGAAAAAGTCATCTTGAAGACCTTTTTGTGCTGTTCACAATCCTGCCTTTTTGATACCTAGCCCTTCTAATTTCTGAGCTACACGCGCGCGAAAATTGGGTAAGGTATCTCGGGGAGAGTACTCCAAACTTCTTGGCTTCTTGGCTTCAAGAGATCATAATGTCACTCAAATCTTGCCATTCCATATGTCACGCGGCGATCAAGGCCAAGAAAAATATAGTAATCGAGGCGTTCATGTCTGGCGTTCGCGAGCGCAATTTCCAGCTACATCCGCCGTCAACTGGCTATCAATGAATGTTGTGCAAGGCACGATTACGTTATGAAACCATGACGCATTGAGGAACTTATTCACTAAACAGAGAATTGTGCTGTCCAGAGGTCTTTCCCTCTTAACAAACATACTAGTGGTTATAAGTGAGCTTATTTATTCATGTCTGATGTCTCAACATCTTCAAATGTAGAACATTCTCTTTAAATTCGCCGTCTCCCACCGGACCGCTTCTTAATGGCATCCACTGCAAATATTAGCCTCCAGACCACATGCAGAGAAAAGTGACTTAGATTGGTCGAAATCAATATTTTGCAGCCCTTTCAGTAAGCGAACACATTCCTCCGCATGTCCCGAATGACTAATATGGAAAACATGGGCATAAGGTTCGGGTAGTGCAGTGGCTACAGGCTCCAGGTAGTGCAGTGGCTTTAGGGTTCCGGTATTGCAGTGGTTGCAGGGTTTCAGTAGTGCAGTGGCTATAAGGTTCCGACAGTGCAGTGGCTACAGCGTTCCGCTTGTGCAGTGGCTATAGGGTTCCGGTAGTGCAGTGGCTAAAGGGCTTCGGTAGTGTAGTGGCTATAGGGTTCCGGTAGTACAGTGGCTACAGGGTTCCGGTGATCCAGTGGCTACAAGGTTCCGGTGATCCGGTGGCTTAGGCTTCCGGTGGTCCAGTGGCTAAAGGGTTGCGGTAGTGCAGTGGCTATAGGGTTCCGGTAATGCGGTGGCTATACGGTTCCGGTAATGCAGTGGCTATAGGGTTCCGGCAGTGCAGGGGGCGCAAGGAATTTGATAGTGCGGTGGCTATGGGTCTCCTGTAGTGCAATGGCTATAGGGTACCGATCATCTAGTGGTTACAGGGTTCCGTTGATCAAGTGGTTATAGGGTTCCGGTGATCAAGTGGCTACAGGGTTCCGGAAGTCCAGTGGCTGTAGGGTTCCGGCAGGGCAGTGGCTAAGCGGTACGTCCGCGAAACAAAAAGGGGTTCGATTTCCCGCGGTGACCGCTCTTCTTCTCAGGCTGTAAGCAAGTCGACACCACATATCCTGAGCTGCTGAGTGTATTGCGAAACCCCAAAGCATGGCCAGTATGGACACTGAGTAGATTACAGATTCTTGAGACGGCACTTTGTGGCACAAAGCAGCGCTAACATAAGTAAAAGGGGAGGGATTCCGCAGATCGAACTTTATGACCAACGGGCTGTGGCAAATTCGGCCAGCAGTTAAGTGGTTTCCAGGTTGGTTGGTTTCCAGGTAATAATGACTTGTTTAAAAAAGATGCCTACCTAACAAAAACTTCGCCTTTGAGCAATGGCAGCAGAGCCTTATCAGAATGGCGAGGGGTGGAGGTGGAGGCAACATCGTTTATGAATAGGTCATTTCTTTATGTTGAATGACACAGTATTACTACCGCTTTACAGACTGGTGACTGCTGCCATTCTGCACCCATAGGCCGCTATCAATGTTTTTAACATTACCTTTGGACATAACAATTATGAACAGCAATTATGGCATGGTGCCACCAGTTGGTAAGGGGCCGTCCATAAATTATGTTACACATGGGCGGGGGGGGGCGGATTGATGGAGGGTAACAGAAGCGCAACAAGGGAGGGAGGGAGCGGCATTTGGACACTAGTGTCACGCTTATGCGTGGTTGCAAATCGTGCTAGAATCTTTCAAAACGCATTAAAACCTTGAAGCCAGATGCTCCTAGCTTTCTCTCTATACAAGGAACACAAACTATATCTCTTTTGGACCTTCAGGTCAATGAGAGGCAAGCAGACTTTACCTTTTGGGGATGCAATGCTTAACTCAACATTACAGAAGTTGTACAGTGCATTAGTGAGGAACATTATTCACATAGATAAGACAGTAGTATTAGCCTTATTCCCCGGAGAAAAACCAGGGAAATGGAGATAAACTTGGGTTGATATTTTGGCAACATGCCTGCATCGAAACAATAGCTTAAATGAATTCAAACACAATTGCAATTGGAATCTGAATTCACTTCAGCTATTGTTTCGATAAAGGCATGTTGCCGAAATATTAATCCAACTATATCTCCCTTCTCCTGGTTTTTCTCCGAGGAATAAGGCTAATACTACTGTATCATCTTCACACGCGCCCGGGTGGCCGGCTAGATACCCTTCGCTCGGGTGGGAGTCAATTTGACCCCGTTGATATCTCGGAAACCAAGAAAGCTAGAGACACCACATTTTCAGGGTGTGTTGAACTGGTCACTCAACACGCTTAGGTCAAGCTTTGAGGTTCCTAGGGCATGACCTTCGAGTCAAATAAGGTCAAAAAA